AACCATCGTTTGCCGAAGAGAGTGCTGTTTTCCATGCCCAATTCAGAGTGGCGTAAACAGAGGTGGTCAACCCTTGACTTGGCAGAGGGGTATGAAGGAGATCACGAAACGCTCGGGTACTATCGTTGCTAATCACCTTCCAGGATGGGGATCGCGTGATCCTCACTGTGCCTGGTTGGAGACACTAAAACATATGGCTGCCAACTGATGTCAGTTGTTGTTAGTTTCTATCCACTTTACCTGAGTGAATGCCTGGAGGTGTAGGAACCCCGGAATGTTTGTGTTAAGCTAGCACTAAGTCCCTTCCCCGTCCATCTCTATTCTTTTTTTACAATAAGGCTTTCAAATAAGTCATGGTTGTGCGGCAGTGAAGCATCGGTGTTGAACACTGATGTCATGCTGTCGATGATGGTGATGATGATTCACTCTAGTCGGAGGCTTTGAGATAAACGTAAGTTGTACAGCTGCCTCCACTGTGTAGAGTTCTACGAAACAATTCCATCATCCAACACGGACTTCGGGTGTATCCGCTACGAAAGAACTGGTTCCAGAGTGGGAGAATCACTTGACATCCTGGTGGATCTGTGGTGCACGAGTTTCGAATCCGTTCTTCACCCGTTCACATCCTTGTCCGATATGTCGAATATGGCATGGTGGAATGCTGCTAGTCTGTGATGCTCCGAGTGACCCTGTATGGCGTCAGGGAAATTTTTGGGCAAACCAACTTCGTAAAGTTTGAGGGCAGCAAATAAACACAGCCTGGATGACGCCAGAGAATCTGGAAAAACTGTATGAATGAGGTGTTTCCACTGAAGAACAGTGAACCAGTCTGTGGTGATGCCGACGGAATCCTTACGACCAATTTCGACTGAATAAGCAGAATACGCGAAGGCGTCGCTCTAGAGGACAGTGTTGGTACCTCAGGTAGCATAGAAGGTCGTTGGTTTGTTCGCTGAGCTGCGCAATTTGATTGCAAACGTCCCATCACCAATCTAGGTGACATTATCAGTGCGTTGTGGAGCGCACCGATGGGTCGGTGGCTGCGCGTTGAGTATTGTTGCGTGTGTGTGTTAATATAAGTGCTGTTAGCCGAAGCTGACCTTTGGTCGGCCGGTTCTATTGGTTGTTCCGTTACCCTGCGTCCTGATTGATCGATGACCACGTGAACTTTGAGCCTGACCTCCCATGCCCTCGTGCTGAAGTGATCTCTGGTGTTGACCTCTCTGGGTTCCGGATTGTGAGGAGACGACAGAACTCCCCAATCGGATGCGCAAGGAAATACCAGAATCCGGAGTTTTTTACCGGCCTATCTAATCCGTCAGTCGGTGAACCGCAATTACAATTTTGTCTGGTGCTTGGCATAACAAACAAATCGTACCAAGCGTGAATTAGTACATTGATAGCTGTTCACAATACCACTATATGTGTACCATGTAACCCTAGTGGTCCATTCCAGTGGTCCATTCTAGTGGTCCATTCCAGACTTCCACAATGTTCAGTCACCTTTTTCGAGATCTTGTGTTTTCGGCATACGTTTGATCACCCACGCACTTAAAAAATTACGCCACAACAGGCGGACAGCAAATACTCTTGAATGGTTTTCAATGAATGGGTTGGTGAAAAACGACGCCTATTTTCCCGCACTTGTATTCCATCAGATTCCATCATTTCTTGTATTTTGGTGAACTTTTGCTCAGATCATTTTGGTGGTACGAGAAAGTGGTGGGGCACTAGTTCGAGCCCCGTTACTTCTAATATGATTAAATATGAGATGTGGTCAGTGGTAGTCATCAGACAAGGGAATACGTTGCTATCTGGTACACAGAGAATTATAGATTTTACGATTCTTTCCTTGTTTACCAAGCAATGTTTCACTCCTAATTAAATCCGAATACTACTTACGATGTCAAACAAGAAAGATTGGCCGTTAGCTGACCAGCGAATAAGGTTGAATCGATAACCAACGCATAAATCTTACCCTGGCAATAAAACGTCAAGCTTTGTAAGTCGGGCGATGGAGCCGTTTTGTGTAAGAATTGCTTTTTGTGGCGGCGATTAAGCCATGTTAATTTAACCTCTTGTTTATTGCTAAACGCGCTCCTCGACAATCAGATTTCCGATGGCAGCGATCTCGTGTGGCATCTTGTACTCGATTTGGCAGCAACCGTCAGGTTTGGAAATTCAACTTTCGCTTTCTCAAGGTCCTCTCAACCTACTTAATCCAGGATTCCACGTGAGAGTAGTTGACGCTGACTAGGCTCCTCTTCTATAGCGACAAAACCAATTTGGTCATGTGCATGAATGATTTCCTGCAGGCACGTGGAATCGGTGCAATCCAACTTGTACTTATTTAAACCAGGTTTGAATGACGACTGACTTTTTTGTTAGTGTGAGAAGGTTGGAAAACTTCGATGGAGATTTAGTCTTTAGTAAGTAAAGTCCATCTGTGCTGAACAGTCGAGAAGTACTACCAAACTGTTTTCCTCCCTTTTGGAAATCATCAACAGTGCGGTTTCAAAGCTCCTGATTAGCGTCTCATCGGATGCGCACGGGCGATTATTTCCAACAAGGATGAAACAGTTTCTCGTGTTTTTTCACCATGAATTACCATCATTTAAGGTACGAACTCCCCATGAGTGATCTTCCACGATCTGCTGAATCAGTTTCTTTAAAAGATGTTGCCTGAGAACATCACAAACGAGAGATTCNATCAGTTTGCAAATGAGTGTATATTCGCTAGTTTTCCAACCTCCATGAATAAGACGCGTTGTGCAACCTCCGACTAAACCTGTATTTCCATTTTATACGGATAAGTCAGAGAAAAGGGATCATTTTACGACCCACTTCGCGGTCGGTCGGTATTCTCTCTCTCTCTCTCTCATCCGTTTACGACTAGCCACCACACAAAACCTGCTTAGAAGATGGGAGGGCATAACCAGATAATACATCCCCCCCGCCGCGAAAAGATCAGGCTCAAACTAAGCTGCGTAAAATGGACAGCTTATGGGGTTTGTTAGAACTTCCAACCGCAAGCACTACTATCAGAGAAACTGTCGTATCCGGGGGGAGGGGGTATAAAACAGATTACCAAAGGTCTGGGTGCTCTTGGATGTGACTCGCCCTCCAGGATGGGGTTGATTTCAGTGGCTTTTTCGTAGCCATCTTCTATCCAGTTCACATGAATGAGAGCCTGGAGATACAGACAACTTGGAATGATTTGGGTAGGTCATTAGCAAAGTCATTTATTCCTCACTTCACAACGGGATTTTCAAGCAAATCAACGAAGCATCAGTGTTTAACAGTGTGTCATGCTGTTGTTGTTGTTGTTCTTGTTGCTGATGATGACGATGATGATGATGATGATGGTGATGATGATGTTCATGATGAAGATGATGATGATGATAATGATGATGATGACGATGATGATGATGATGATG